TGAGGACCCCGGCCTCAATCAACTTATTGATAATATCAGCCTTGGGCACTGGGTCCGTTTAAAAAAAAAAAAAAAAAAAAAAAAAAAAAAGATCCTCCCTGCCTCCCACGGGAAGGAAGCGGCCCTGACTCCAACAACGGATCCTAACACTAGGACTTTTCTTACTACTCTCTGGTCCTGATGACGGTCAGATTCATCAACTCAGAAACATGCTGGGATGTGCTAGCGTGAGTATGCCCAAAATGGAAACGAACGGGCTGACGAAAACCCCTTACTGCCAGTGATTATCAGGTCCCATATCTTCCGACTAACTTCATCCTTGTAGCAACCCCCCCCCCTCACTCACAGTCCCCCACCTGAACTCCCAACCTCCCAGCCGCATGCCTGCCCCATAGAGCCTCACTCCGAACCCGGAGACAGGATGGAATAGAATGGATGGGCAACGTCTCAGATTCACCGCAATGAAGTCTGTGCGCGCACAGGGTTCAAGAGTTCTGCTTCTCGAGGGCAGAGGGCTTAGGGGTTCAGAGTCTTCAGACTACTAAACAGGGAGGCGGGATATAAGCAAGGATGGTATGTGCCGAGTTGCGCCTGCCACAGTCTATAAAATGTGAGTGTTCTGCGCCGAAGCAATCATGTATCAAGGGCTTAGGGTTTAGGGTTTAGGGTCTACCGATTAGATTCCAAAGGGAGGAGGATGAATGGAGGAGAATGAATGTGGCCACCCTCGACATCGACCAACATACAGTGAATAAAAGGGGCGAGTAGCTAGTGTCTCATTGAATATTAATGGTGGTCTGCCGTCAGATTGACAAGGCGATCCCCCCACATGTTTCAACCTGTCCCTGTTTTTTAATGTACAAAATTACTACAAATGTATAAAGGGACACTGGGCCCGTTTACCAGCAGGTGCAGCTCCCCACCAAGATGGAGCCTCCTCTGAGGAAGCTTGAGCTGTCTGCTCCTACCAGCGCCTGAAGCTGATCCTGGGGTTGTTTTCTCAAAAAAGAAGAAGAAGAAGAAGAAGAAGAAAGGAGTGTGGGAATGGGAGGAGGACTGCACATTGTCCTTTGAGAAGTCAAAGAAGATGCTGGTAGAGTACCCTGCGTTGAAAATCACAGACTCTTCCCATACCATGTGTCAAAACAATGGATGTGATTTACCGTCTTCACCCAAATACAACATACGGTTATTATAGCTGTATTTGGGGCAACTTTGAGTCTAGATACAACAGTAATGACCGTACGACATATGTTGTAATGGGGTGAAGAAGGTAGTATGGGATATGGGTTCTCTTACAGCGAGATGATGGGAACGGCTGACACCTTCTGGAGTTTCATATCTAAGTGGATGCCATCAGAAAAGTAGCATCTTCTTGGAAGACATGGAAGCACTATGTCCTTTTTTTCCTTTTTTTTTTGGAAACACCTGAGGGAGCCTATTCAAGGGGGTGTTAAGAGCAGCCCCCGCCAATGGGACTCCAAAGAGAAGACGACTCCAACGAGTCCAATCTATTGGTGCGGAGCTGCACCTGCTGGAAACCAGGTCCAGCATCCGAATTACACCGGAGGAGCCTGTATTGTTTTATCGATGACGTTGATAATGACGGGCAGCATTGATTGGCCTCATGAAGAGGGGATTGACCCACCCGTCTAGACTCGAGGCCGGATGTACAAACTCATCACAGCATGTACCCGACTGTCATAGGGCATCTGCCAACCCCCGCCACGTGGCCAAACCCTAGTAGTGTATAAACTCCCAGGACACATCGACACCTAAAGCCCATTTTATACCGATAGCTCTTTGAATTGAAATGAACCATTGTGAAAATCATAGTAACAACCAAAAATATAACTCATAAGAAGAAAATCCAGCAGACATATTCCTGAAGTATACCATCTTACAGTTTGAGTGGCAGCAGTTGGGTGGGTAGCAGAAGGACCCCAGCCTCCAGTCCTGTCAAACGAAGGGGGACAAACCAAGCAAGTGATCTAGATGAGATGTACGCAGCAAAGAAGTTATTTGTGCTTCTACACGAGAGGACGGAGCCAAGGATGTCCCCGAATATAGAGTAGCCGACAGACTATTATTCTGCTTCTACACGAGAGGACGGACTCTGGATTCCAAATGATGAGCAGATTCGCTGCACTGTTTTAAGACGTATGTAAATTTTCTCCGTCCCTTTCTGTGCGCAAGCATGAAGTTCGTCAAAGGAACAAGTGCACCACTTAGGCACCTTTATTAGGCTTACTAAGACCATCATTGCCTATTCCCTCAGGACCCAGAGAGTCTGTCTCGCTAGACTTCTGAATCATGGACACCAAGGTGACGAGCAAAGGATGCAACAGTCATGGTTATGGTTGTGGTTGAACGATTTTTTTTTTTTTTTTTTTTTTTCTTTTTTTAACGATTTAGTAAGTATGCTGAGTTCATCCCCCTGCCTACAGAGGTTCTTTGCGCATATATTTATGTTCAGGATAATGGTAAAATCTTCTTTCTACAGTTAGTGATTGAGATGTTAGGTTCGCCAGCGAAGCCTGGCAGCAGCTAATGAAGGAATGTGAATGTGGCCCGGGACCGCTTGCCCGGCCATCCTGCCCAGTTGACCATGTCATCCTGTAGACAACAGTCAGACAGAGCAGATGAACAAACCCTTGAGAACCTAGGCTACCAGAGTGGCCCGGGACCACTTGGTCGGCAAGGCCA